ATAACACAGAGTGTGGTGGAGAGAAGGGGCTCCAGTTCACGATGTAACCCCTCCTCGGCTCTTTTTCCTTCTACAAATGCCTTCGACCCATAAATCCCTACATACATGTTATAAACTGTAGGAATGGTGGCTTAAATAATTGATTTCTCTACCTCCTCAGTTAATTAATTTAGTCTTATTTTCTTTTTTGATCCTCCCCATTTGGAAAAGCAGTAAAAACCAGTAACACAGAATTCTGGTGTCAAGGGTGGAGTCAGCTCTGATATCGGGTTTCCTGGTGACAGCAGATTGAGAGGACCCTGCTTGGTGCCTGTTTTGGTGGATACTGGATGAACAGCCGGGTAAAGATGGCTTCCCCCAAACCAGCTGCTCTTCAAAGGCAGGGAGGTGGAAACAGGGGAGGTTAAAAGGTCGAAGTGTTTACTCATGTACACCCACCTCCCCCACTAAGATAGTGCTTTGTCATGGCCGTCAATAATGTGGGATTAAAATAAGAAATAAACAACACTGATGTTTCTCTAAAATGTATTATAAATCAATGGATGCTAATAAAGATACAGATTTCATAATCATGGAAATATACTGTATGTACCTGTTTTCTTAAATGACAATAATGCTTTAAAACCAAACATTCAATGTAAACTAGATATAATTCCTTGGAAATATATGTAGCCGTGTCTAAATCACAAAGGTTGATTAAAAGTCAAATATGCCAAGCTAAAAACGTCTGATTTACTTCTCTCTTAAATGTATTAGAGGTGTGTTATAACTCCTGTTGTATGTTAGCACCTGAATAAAATCTTCAAACGGTAAAATGGTTGTGAGGAGTCAAAACAGATTTTTTTTCTCTTTCTGGAATTTTCTAGCAGGATTGCTTAAGCATATATGTGCTTCTGTAAAGAAGTCTAGGTTAACCTACTGTACCTGCCTAAATCTCTCAGCTTTAGAGACTGTTATTAGGAGACAGCTGGGCAGTTACTGCCCTATTGCGCTCTGACATTTTAGTCAGATTTATCTAATTGTTCTAAATGTGATACCTTTTGCCAATTAAAATAAGAGGTGTCAAACCTGATGATCAGCAGTGTTGTTTTTATCTCTGGGCTGGTCAGGCGGCTTTTAGATGCCCTCTACTGTTCTGGTGCTGCAAAGAGGAACTGAAAAGCTGTGGATGTCGAGGTAAACTGCAGCTCCATTCATACAATTCTCATCTTAATTCCACAATGACCTTCACATCCACCTACACTCATCCTTTCTTTTAAGGGCTGATTCTTGATTTGGAAAATAATTCAAGATGCACCTGCACTGCAAAGGGAATATCCTGCATGGTATAGATTTGTCCATGGCTCCTTTCCCTGAGTGAAAGTCATAAATCTCACTGATCTCCAGCTTTTAAAACCATCATGGCTTTTTAAAAAGAAGGTCACCCTGGGACTACACAGTCTCTGCATTTGAACAAGGCAGATCAAACGTAAAAAATTACCCTTGTTCTGCACTGGGCTCCCAGAGGTTTTCCTGTGCTACTGTATAGCTCAGTCTGATTTTCTGTGAAAGTGCATATTTAGGCCAGATCAAAATGTTTTTTCTTCCCAAACCCTAACTCTGTTGTTTTTTTTTCTGTTCTCAATTTGGAAACTGCAGTATATGGTTACAATTTTTTACTAAAAAATTCAGCCATTTCTCTAAATATTTCAATCTGACATAAATTAATATTTTTGTACCCACTGCTTGCTCACTGCAAGAGTTCATTCTTTTTTTGCTCCCTTTTCTTCTGAGACATTCATCTCATACAATGACTTAATTCTGCTTTAGTACCAATGAAATGATTAAACATTTCAGGGAGGGGTTACATGTATCTGACACATACAGTATAGTATACAAGTAATATACTGTAGCCCACTGGTCTTCAATAAAAAATGCAGATATCTTTTGTTTTAAAATTGCAGAGCAAGGTACTTTTAGAAAGGGATATTGTTCACAGTGATATGTTACATCTTAATGGCAAAGCATTTCTTGTAAAAATATAAGTGATCCCCAATATCTTATGTGACACTACTAGCAGGATACATATTCTGTATGCATTCATCTTTTGGTGTACCATTTGGTGTACATTACAGGTATTTTTTCTGAAACTGGTATATCTCTTGATATGCTGTATTACAGATAACACATAAGTAATGCAACTACTGTAACAATAAACCATAATGCATTCAGGAGCACCACAGGTCCGTGTTCATTATATAGATCGGAACATAAAGAATTCAACACATTTTGATTTGAATCATTTTAAAATATTAATTGTTAAGGCAGTGTTTCTCCCACTGATTTTCACAGATTGATAGAGTTCTTTTTTCACATCCTCACTTTTTTCCCCAGCATTACCAGAATTGCATTTTTTTACTTTGAGGATCCTGTTCTGTGGGCTTTTTTAATGCTGGGAGATCAAAGAGCAGCAATATTGTAGGGAAAGTAAGCAACATAAATGAAGGCAAGATACTGCCACCTCTTGAGAGTTTCTGCATACATCCAGGCTAATCAATTTTTCATGTGGTTCAGATATCACTCTATATTCACTCGCTTCTTTTTTCCTCCTTCGTGCACCATGATCAAAAATAAAGTATGCCATTTAAAATGATTGGTGACTGTGTTCATTATGCTTAACTTCATTTGGAAACACATTTTGGTAAATTAGTGCAATTCCACAAGAGAATACCTAAGATGGTGAAACACAATATTCCACTGCGTCTGCCCCCTTATTAGGCTGTTTTCTCATAGTCAATTGAAAGAAAGATGGAGAATCACAGGACAGAAAGAAAGCTACACAGACCGGATACTGTCAGACCCACATACAAACACATACAGCTGAGAGTGTACAGAAGAAGAAATAATTGCATCAAGCAATTTCCCCAAACGCTTTACATGTAAAAGCAGACTGTCTTTATTCCTCACTGAAGTACAGGATCCACCCATTATGCAACAGCAGCCTCACCACACAAAAGATCAGGAGAAGTGAGAAATTGCTGCACTAATTGAAATAAGGGGTTATTTCAGGAAAGTTAGATTTTTGAAGCCAAGAGAGGAAGTTACCGAGGAAGGACAATGAGGTGAACATCCCTGTGAGCTGTTTCTTGGGATCTTTAATGGCCATAGGCACTTAAGTAACTCTGATTCAATGTCTCATACAAAGGATGTCAACTCCTGAAGCACAGCATGCAGGGGGAATTCTGGTCCAGAGCGAAGAGCTCCATCTCCTGGTCTGCAAAAAACACAATAGGAATGTGTCTTTTCCTTAGAAATACTGATCAATACTGATCAGGCCCAGCTTTGCTTAGTGTCTGAGATCTCTCAAGAGCAGGCGACAATTGTTAGCACTGCTGAATTCTGCAGTTTCTGCAGGGCTAATAGAGAATGCTTAACAATTAAAATTTTACAAATGTATACACAGAGATATTTATTTATTTTTCAAGTATCAACTCAGCAAATCAAGATGATCAGACTTCTTTGACTGATATAGTTCAGAATAAACAAAATGTATGGCTTTCATGCAATTATATCAAAGTTTGCATTTAATTAAGAAGATGATTATTGGGCAAATGTAAATAATGTATTAATTCCGTTTTTTGTTGCATTAACAAAATGTAATGACTACTCTTACTTTATCACAGGAAATTCAGAAGTTTAGCTCAACAGATTAGCACTCTTCAGTGTCCAAGAATGCATGAATTTAACTTCTGAGAGAGAGATTTGGGGAAAACCCTCTCTATGGACCAATAACCTTGTCGTGGTGGATTTCTGTGTGCTCCCATGAACCACAACGATTCTCAACTGGCAAACAAGTATGTGGTGAGGTCAGAGATGAAAAACCACACCCCGCCAAGATCCTCAGGATGGTTTAGCCATGAGACCCACACAGACACTCATGAGTCCTGTCCGAGCTCAGCATGAAACAGCTTCATGCAGCTAGCTTGCAGGATTACCACTTGTGAGGGGAAAGGTGTGGGTTGTGAGGGATACCAGTATGGCAGCCACTGGTTGGAATCACATTAAACTGGACCTTAGCAGTGGAGAGATGCTACTAGGATGTGAAATGTCACATCTCTGGCAGGGTAGGACACAGAGCTGGTAGAAGCTGCATTCGGCCTCAATTCCATGAATAAAGCCATACTTGTGAATGGTAGTTTCTTGCGCTAAAATGGCACAGCCTTTTCAACCTTGGATATCTGCGATAATAACTGAATTGTCCATAATGAACACCATGTTCAAACACAAGTATACCCGACTCCAAAGCACCTTGAGTCATATGTCAATGACTGATTAATGTTCATATTATTGGACCTACTATACATCCAGATTTTCTGTACCTTACGGTGAAGAGAGGGACAGAGTTCTCATAAGCTATCAAGTCAAAGAAAGAAATTAGCCATGGATTGGTCTCATGTCTGATTTACAGCCACATCCTTATCCTCACATGTGGTCATGAACATTGCAGGTATCATCAGTAGAAATCATACTGCTTCTCTGGGCTGCTTTCCAGGGGACGAGGTTCAGCTGTCCAGCAGAAACTCTGAGTACAGTTTCTCTTTCTCTAGACTGAGAAAAGTTAGCTGGTTTAGGGGTTTGTTACAGATCTCCCCCTAAACATCTAACATGCTCTCACTGAACAGTGACAGTTGTTCTGGAGCTAAACTCTTATGATAGAAGAGTCTTATGATTCCCATTTCATCTCCTCTCAAAAGCTTCACTGGTAGAAGAAAACCATGATTATGGATACGGTCTATGAAAATTCAAAGAGGACGCTGGAGAAGCATGGTTGTGACAGCAGTTGTATTTCTGCACCAGGGGAGAGCATCTCCATTCTGGTATGTCCTTGCTACAGTATATTAATTTTAACATTCTGATAAAACTGGGCCTCTACTGACCCACAGCAATCTGTTTAGTGGTGATATTACTGGTTTCATGATTGCAGACAGCAAGCTAAATGAGAAAATTCAGAATCCACAGCATTCATTTTATGAGTGTTTTATTTCATTTTATTACAGTGTAATTAAAGCCAGAAAATGAGATCGAGCCACAAAGAAGGTCTGAGATGGGATCTCTTCTACCCTAAACCTCCAAAAATATCCAGTTTAGGCAAAGATATACTATGCATCAGAGTAAGGGAAACAAATTATGGATACCATAAAAATGCAAAAAAAAAAACAAAAACAATTTACATTAGATGGTTTTAAAGGCATTTCATTTTGGTGAATATATATAACCTGAACTAAAGCCTGCTGTACCATTGTGCCAGTTTCCATTACTGTTCAACAATTACAGCATCATCCAACTGTTTCTTTAGCTAAAGAACACTGCGTTCTAACAGACGTGTACATGTGCTGGTGCTTGTGTACCACACAAGAGTGTATTTATAAGCCACAATATCAATAAGCCAAGCCATTATGCTTTATGGAGAAAAAATGAAGAAAAAAAATGTTAAGATAAGGATATGTGTTTAGTTTAGTTTTAGATAAGGCCTGTTTAGTTTTAAATGTCAAATCACAGCAGGTACCTGGTAACAAGGTTAACTTTGAATGATCATTTTAGTAAATCCTACAACACTAAATCCAACGACATGGGAATTTATTTGACAAATTAAAAAAAGTCTCTTTCCCCGGATGATACACCATAATGTAGGAGGGAACAATTAAAAAAATGTTTACAGTACTTTCAACATAACAGAAATACAACAGAGTCCAGAATATTTTAACACAGAGAAGCTTACCGTAACCCAATATTGTATTATTTAGTTTCACCAATACTTTAGAAGAACTACTGCATTTCTTTAACCCAATACTGCTGATATCATCAGTACCAATCTGACTTACATGTAATTTAATCAGAATTACATGTGGCAGCAGTGGGTGGAGTAGTGTATTCTCCTTTAACACAGTGACTGACTTCAACATCTGTTGCAATTTACTTGCATAACACTGCCGTCATACACATCACTGAACAGACAGATTTCTAATTGTACAGAAGGTATTATTCCATTAGCGGTTTAAATTAAGGCCAATTCCTTTGTCAAAGATGCCAACACCACCTCACTCTTTACTTGAAGAATATGTCTGCAGGTAAAAGGAACAAGCAAATGAGGAGTTATAATCCCTTGGTTTACTAATTTTAATTAAAGGTACAAACAGGTCTTTACCACTGCTTCATTAATTTTGAACTGTTTACCTTCAACATACAGTGAAACTGATGCTATTCTTAAAGATCTTTATACCACCTATACATTTAGAAATCAAACCATCGATAAATCAATTTGATAATCTGTTCAGTTAAGATAATTATGGGCCTTAAGGGCTCAAGAGAAATTACTTTTTAAAACTTTCTGATTTAACAGATTTAACACATCACCTGTTCAATTGATTATAATGGAATTGTTCCAGATTTTTAGAAACTGGTAATAAGATGGTGACATACAAAACTCCGTGAATTGAGGCTCTCACAATCATGATAAGTGATGTCTCTCTGAAGATCATTGAATTTCAGTGGCATGTGTTTTGGTTATATAATTGAGTTTACAGACCCACACAGCTATACAGAAACACAGAATACTTATTTTTCAAAACACAGAGGCCTATAGTACCATTTAACTTTTTTAAAATGTAGCATTTACAAAGTATTTAGGGTCACTTGGCTTTATACATGTAAGTACTGTCCAGAACATAGTTGATTCCTGTTTTGTTGCACACAAAAACAAACTCAAAATTATTTTTAGTGTTATTGAAGATGTATGATTTTTGCATAAACTTTCTAAACTAGACTTTCCAATTAGAAATACTCCTTGATACCTTAACTAATCTAAATTGTTTCTCAATGGAATAAAAAAAGATAAAAGATTATGTACAGTAAATGCCCACAAAATAAATGCAACCTTTTACTATTATCCCTTATATGGAGAGTGTCAAGACTCTCTTTGTTTGCAATATTTGAAGAAAATAGGAAATACATAACCTTTTAAATTATAGCATCAAACAGATTCTCTGTTTTCATATTCTAATTCAAAATAAAATAAAAGTTACAGTTAATATTGGTCAGAACAAACATTTACCACTCTCTTTTAAACATATATTATTGATTTTTTTTTCGAAAATACTTTAGATACCTTGGTAATGTTTAAATACCTATGACAGTAAAAAAAATACAGTGTGTATAGACTTTACAGCAAATGAATACGGTCCAGACTATGTTATTTACAGGATTTGCCAGCAAAGATAATAGATTAAAATCAATTAAATACAGTGTTACCGACAGTATTGGTTCTGTCCACACAACCTCTGAAACATCTGTTATTCCAAAACACAAAGAAGAACCTAACATTTTTAACATAGGTTTAAGTATGAAAGAAAAATCCAATGCCCTACTTGTCAAAGCCTGCCCTCTACTGGTAGACATTGTTATAGCATGAAAACACTACCTGTATTACTAATTCCTATGTAGCAGTAGGACTCGGTTTAAAATCCTGAAATTATGCTTGAATGTATTAGTATGAGGTAGACATAAAAGGAATATTACATTATTTGTAAAAATGGATATGGATATTCTGGATAATAAAAAACGCTAATATTAAAAAGTGACAATTAAGGCATCTTCAAAACTTATATACAATGTCCACTTCTGTTTTTAGGTCTTTATAATGCAAAGGAAGAAAATAATAAGGCAATAGTAAAAAACAATTAACGATTCAAGTGGCCCCAAAAAAAATGATCCCATGAAAATATTAACCCAGGGTTGATCCCATGAAAAAAAACCTACAAAACTATAAACACTAAATCTTCATTACAGCCTTTCATTTACAACCTGTAAATGTAAATGAAACCTAGCACTGTTCAGTTCAGTGTTGAAATAAGATTAGAAAGCTGTGGCAGCAAAACTGTGATATTTCTACCATTTATATTGTAATGTTTTTTGTTTTATTGTTTCATGACGTCTTCAACAAGGTATGATCATAGACAGACATGAGAAAAATGAAAGAAAAACACAGAGTGAAAGCAGAGTGAAAGAACCCCCACATTAGTCACTGGTGCACATCTTTTGTTTTGGTGAAAATGGCCAGATTTCATGCACACACATTGTATTATCACTAAAAATGAGGAAAATTGTGATTTTTATTTTAGTCCTTTCCTTTTCTTTTTAATTAAAGACAACTTGTATTAAGACGCAAGTTTAAGTTTAGCAATTCTGCATGCACAAACCAGATGGTCAATTATGAATTCATACACTGGGACTTCTTTCAGCAAAGATTGAAATGTGTCATTTGAACAATTTTCAACTTTTCTGTTGTTACATGAGCATCTAGTATCCTTCATATTTGACAATGATTATTAGCATCTTTTCAATTATATAATGATATTAGCTTCTTTTAAGACTTCAAGTAATCAAACTAATTGCTTTAGGTCTGTGATTATGATTGGTTTTAAGTGATAGTCAAATTGAATTAATTGTAATAGAGATTTGTGGCCAGGCCTTGTGGTTTACAGATAAATGGCACTAGACTACAAAAAAAAGATACTGTACTACATTTCCACAATGTTACTGTCTCTGAAGTAATGCCCATCTTTAATATAAACAACACATCATTAACACAAAAAGGAATTACTAAAAAAGTAAGTTTAATCTTTTAAAAAGGCAAAGTCTTTTATATTACAAAAATTATTTTAAGGAGTGTTTCAATAGCTCAGAAATGTTACAAACCCAAAAAGGCTACTTGGTCGAGTTAAGCTTGTATGTTTTAGTAGCTATTTAAAACATTTTTATATATTGAATATATGAATGTTTAAGAACAATTTGCAAATGTTGCATGTAATAAGTTGGACTTGGTTTAGTCACCTGACAGGTTAGTCACCTGACAGATTCAAATGATCTGTAGATGAGGTTTTGAAGATAGTTTTACAAGTGTCAGTAACTCCCAGTGCAAAATCCCTTTTTGTCCACTTTCACTACTAGTGCAAAATAGAGATATGCAGACTTCTCATGCTCTTAATTCCCAAGGTTTATGCTACACAGATATTATCACCTTGCACTTAAATTCTATCTACAAAGCTATGGGAATACACACCTGTTGATATATACAGCAGATTTTAAGTGCTTTGTTTGAGGAAAGCAAGAAAGGATTATGTTGATACTGAAGCATTATTCAGATTTCAGATTCTTATGTGCTTTTAATTTGCACATATAAAATCTAAATGAATAAGTACTTTACTCATATGATGAACTTACAGTATGGTCCAAGCATAAAACTAAACTTCACAGTGGTGATGATTAATCTTCTTTTTATACAAGTGCTGTTGATGAATAATCTAGTGCTGTTTTGTTTGAGTGCCTGAGCAAAACTGGGAATTTTGCTCAATTCACATATATTGTGTGCCATTATCAAGTCCTGACAGACCGCAAGACAAAACGAATTATTAAGAAAAACAGCAAGGTACATTTGATCCCCATGATAAAGAGCAACCGCTATGTAGTTGAAATGCGCATCTTAGGCATAAAGCCCTTTTATCAAGTATTTTAGCATTTTCCAATCGCTGATACTTTCAGGTTTCAACATTGACTTGATTTATGCATAAAAGTGTAATTGGAAGCCACAAGCTTGCTCTACTGTAACACTGTAATCAGATGAAGAGTAAATTAATCTCATACCCACAACCCATTAGTCCCAGCATATAGCTAGGTGTTAAACAACATTTATAACACTGGCCCCTTACCAGCATATTTTTGTGTAAACCATTATCACCTAAAACTTGAATAGCTGTTTAGATACAGTAGATATCGAAGTTTCTCTCAGATACAGTAATTCAGATTTTTTTTATTGGCTTGTGTGTTTGACCAAACAGAACAGGGTTTGGAATCAAATGAGTCAGAGGCTGTGTAGCAATGTTCAGGTAATAACTGAGAAGTGGCACTCATACTGGACCATGTAATTCACAGGTACTCTACTGTATATGTTTTCTGCTCTGTCACTTTTTCCAGGGAGTGTCGAAACGTATTTATAAACTTTAGAGGACCCATGTTCCCTAGGACTCTTCCTCTGTGTGGAACAGCTTAAAAAGTCTCTTTGCAGTCCTTTGGTGGTTTGTCAGACAGACCTGACTGTGAGCTGTGTCATTGTCAGCGCGGGACAGCGGCAACCAGTTGAAAAAGCAGCACTTTAAGTAAAATTTAGAAGGCCCAGAAGCGCACCAACTGCTCCAAAGTAACCCTGCAAGAGAGGTGATTTAAGTTAGGGCAGGCTTTTAAAGTTACCCCTGGAAGGAAAATACTGTATACCATATAGGTGACTGACTGTCATCTGTCATCACACAAATTGAATTATCAGTACCTCTCTAGGAAAAATAGGCCTCAATTTTCTTCAGTCATTAAATAAATATATAACACATTTACAAGAGATCAGAACATGTACATTCAGCATTAATATGCCAACTTGAAAAAAAAAGCAATACAACCGCATTCTACTGATGAGTAAGTAGGCTTTGTTTTTTACATTGTTCACATAGTCGTTGTGTATTTAGAAGAATGAATGGAAGGGATTTTAAAAGATGGACATTTGGGCTTTAGAGTTAGTCTTTATCACTTCTGAATGTATTAGCACTCAGGGAAACCTAAATTTGCCCAATTTGTCATTTGATGCGCTAATGTAGTAAAAGGCCTTGGAAAAAAAAGAAATAAAAATAAACTTTTCAGCTACGGATGCTTTTTTTGCTATTGCTAAAGAATGTTAAAAGAATTCGAGTTCAAGTTGAAAAACGCTCATTAGCTTACAAATTGCTGTACAATCAAAAATTGCAGAGTGACAAGGGGATGTATTTAGATTTTGTGTTCGAATTAAAAGACAGTCCGTCAAGAATTCACCTTTGTGCTAAAGCCCACTTTAATTCAGAAATTTAAATTGCCCTGTTGAGCCTAAAATGACTAAGAGGTAACAAAGTACGACCTGATGTGTAGAGAGAGCAGATTTTATATATTCTTTTCACTTTTGCCACATAAAAAACTATCACTTTGCAGTTCATTGATGTCTAATGATTTAAAGCCTTCAGATCCTATATACCTATCACTCCATGGATATGGACATTTAAATACTTAGTGTATATTTTCATAGTACACTGATAAAGGAATATACGTCGTCATTACTTTAGTCCCATACTGTACATAAAGAAAATACCTCATGCTCCAGAAACAACGCCTTCTGCTGTCCTTGTGACCAGTAGTCCAGAGCATAGGCCAAGAGCTTCATAGACAGAGTGTTCACACGGAGGAAATTTCCAACAAACACCACTCGGTTTATTTTCTAAAGGTAGATAAAAAAAGAAAACAAAATATCCAGTAAAGAGGGCATGTGTATTCATTTATGTGTAATTTTCCCATCACATGTCCAGTACCTCTAGTTTCAATATCAACTTTCCGTTTGGTTGCAAGTAGGACTGTGTACAAATCCAACAATACCATACCACTGTTCCTGTTCCGTTTTAGGCATGGTGTTATGCAGCAAATACATTAGTTCTGCAATAGGAGTTGGCTCTCAACAAACATGACTTAACAGAGGCCGTTTACCCTTTGTAATTAAAATACTTCTGTTTATTTTATAAAGCCCCAGTGGTCTGAACATTTCAATGTCCTTACAGTCCTGGACTTTCAGAGAGTGAATATTATTCTTTAACCACCTCATTTAATTATTCTGAGAGTAAGACCACAATGCGGCTTGCAAAGAAAAATTTAATTTTGGTTAGTTGGAAAAGTAAATCTTTCATCATCATTATTGCAATAAACTCAGCATATGCAAGATGGGGAAACCGTCATGCATTTGTGCAAGTCATGATAGCTCATTTACATCATCTTTAAATGATCATGATTCCCAGTGATTCAGCTGTGAGTCAGAGCAGCCTGGACACACTGATCGCTGATCATGTAGTTCTAGATCTTTCCTGCACAGCCGTAGTCAGAAGACAAGATAGAGGAATTCAGTGTTGCTGTCTATTCCATGAATGAAGGGAAGGCAGAGGTGAAAAACTTCTCCTTCACACGCTTTTGTTTTTGTGTGAACTCCACCAAGATATTCATCAAAACTATTTACAAAGAGATGCTTAATCTGGTTTCAAGTTTTCAAAAATTACCAATGTAGTTCAAAAAACGTCTGTAGAAAGAAAAAGAATGTAGTTCTTTCTTCAAATTAATGTCATCAAAAACTCCTAGGAAGGGAATTAAAGCCAACATAATTTATTGTTTCTTAAAGTGTCACAATGCAGGACAGGCAATCCTAAAACTATCCAGCAACTGTTTTATGGTATGAACCATTGAGCTACCTTTTACACATTAATGAAATGACATACAGTATATTTTCAATCAATTTTCAACACCCTTCTGTTAGTATTATTGTCCCTTTTCAGTCAATAACATTTTAAGAAATGCTAAATTTAGCTCCCATAGATGCACTCAGATGTCATCCGAGATACATGTTCTCACAACTCTGACCACAAATGAGCTGATGTGTATTGCTGATGCTATCTCTCCAAGTTTTCATAGCCCTGTACAATGCTGCTTGATTCTCAAGCCACAAGGCAGCACTGTAAAGAAGCCGAAAGCAAAGAGATCTGGACTGCAGCATGTACCTGTACTACTGCATGTTTGTTTTTCTAAACTAGGTTCAGCACAGAACCACTAATTAACAGAGGTTTGGCAATGAAGCTGTGCGGGCCTAAAATAAAGAACTCGTTTGACTGTGGCAACCCAGGGTGGAGTCATCTCAGAGACGTGTGTCATTATATAACCAAAAAAGGAAATATAGAAAATGAACATGAAGTTGCTCAATGCGGTTCATCTGAGTAATAGGTCTTCCATTCTGCCAATAAAGGCGGTGCCATGTTAACAGTCGATGTGAGGCATAATCAGGTGAAGTACTAATTATACGAGCCATTCAAATACCCGTACTTAGGATTCAATTATGATCCGTATTCAATTGTCTTCCCACCAACCTTCGAAAGGCTTGACACTTTGGCTTAGCCCCTGTGCCAAGAAAATCAAGATAAAATAGAGACAAGAAAACAGAAAACTCTCTAGAGTGTGTGATTTTGGGGTGCGGATCAAAGGAAATGAATGCTGAAGGTATTTCACCACCACACAATATCACATTTGTAAAACCCTAAAGGTAATTCAAGAGTATTTTTCTCCCCTCACCTCATTCACAGCACACATCTTTGCTATCCAGCCGATGTTGTTGGTGATTGTTACCAAGGTTGCCCTTGCCAAGTCCTCTTTGCTGACAGCCTCCCGCTTTTCTTTGTGGATCATGTTCCCAAAGCTGAAAAGCAGAATTGTACCAGAAGTGTCTTTATTTCAGATGATTGTGGAGCCACAGCCTGAACCTTCCTCCCCCCTCACTGCAGAAGACAGTGGGATCTAGACTTCAGCTGAATTCCCTTCAAATTCCTAGTTGATTAACTCATTACATGCAGACAAAATGGACTTTCTGTTTACAAGCTAAGTGTTTGAAGATTCCTTAGTGTTTTAAAGAACGGGGTAGCTACCTAAACTGTTATTTAAACAAAGGAATAACTATGAGGCTCATTGATTTTGAAGAATTTGAATCTTTAGAAAATTACAAGGTTAAAATGAAAACATGTCAAATATATATAAATGCATATAAAATATCATTAAAATAGATGCAATATAAATGTAAGAGCATATCATTGTAGCATGTGTAATAGATACTAGTACACAATTTAAAAACTAAAGGGCAAATTAAAGATAAATGACTGTAAATGAATGTAATTTTTGTTTTTCCTGTTACAAATACACATCATGTAGAGCATCACAATTTAACATTCTGTGGTTCTCATTGTGGTGATTCCTATCAGATCTTTCTCTGATGTGTTATGTGAAGCAGAATATGATGTTTTTAATATTCTTTGCATGAGAGACATCCATCAGTAGAGTCAAAACATTGATTTTTGTATTTCACCTGGATGCCACAGCCCACCCTGGCAAGTCGAAACGTTCGTAGTCCCCCCCGTAGATATCGCGAACCAGCTTGTCAGCATTGGTGCTGTCCCCTCTCGATGCCAGCTCCAGCGCCTCATCGAAACTGTCACAGCCCGTCAGCAAACTGCACAGGCCCAGGAACGTGCCCCCTCCGAGGCTGGAAAGAGCAGAAAAAAAACACCCCAGTTCTCAGCTGGACTGAAACCAAGGCAAGCCAAGCCCAGGAGCAGGGTGGCAGCCTATCAGAGTGTTCATGTGGGCGAGCCAGCTCCTCAGAGCAGCATTCCCACTATGCTCAGCAGTTCACTGTGCAGCTAGATTTTCTATTTTTCTCTATGAAAAGCAGTTTTTGAGTGTATCACATCCTAACTTTCACAATAATATGTGACCACTCCAATATAGACAATTAGGCAAACACACAATTGTATACATGTATCGTTTTCTCTCCCTATGACTCCCATAATTTTTCTGTGCGGGACCTGCAAGATTATTCAGGCTTGCACTGATACTGGTAACTAGCTAATTTTGAGGTAGCCACCACAGAACAACAATGTATACAGAAGGGCAGGAAAATTGCACCTTAGCTGGAATTACTACACTGTTTCACACAGTCTTACATGTTTGTTCTCAGTGTCAGGATGTCTTTTAAACAACCTCGTAGGGGGTGCTTTTTAATGTAGTTGTGCAATATCACCCCCCGACAGAACTGCTCTGAGTATGATCTTGGAGATGTCATAGGAACAATACAATTAAAGACAGAATTAAGACAATAAAGGTTGTATTGTGCAGCGTGAAGCTAAGAAAATCAGGGAACATTCATCAAGATGCAAATCTTAAAATGAAGAAATAGTATAAACTTTTTGGTAAAACTAGGCCAAACCAAAAACCGGCATAAAGATTGATTACACAACATAAACCTGAGACCGTATTTATTACCTTGTGCCAGACACCCGTTTGTAGTTATCCTTCGAGTACACTGCCAGGATGCTGACCCCTGAGCCAATATTGACCACAAGCAAAGGGTAAGGATCATCCAAGTTATAAGGCACCTTCCGGCAGCGATCTGGATCCAAGGCATTCTCATAGTAATAGCATTCGGCCTGGCCATTAAAACTGGGTGAGTCTATATAAAGCAACCCTTTTACCAGACAGTCCAGCTCGTCTAGTTTGTGAAGCTGCAGGTTTCCAATCTGGAAGAAAAGCAACAAAGGAAAAGCAGGGCTTATTACAGTGTGCACAAACAGATGCAAAATACTGTATCTACAATGTGCACAAACAGATGCAAAATATCTACAATGTCAGTGAGAGACCATGAGGTGAGGTTATTGTCTGTCACGGAGTCAAATGCAACAAGACTTATTCCCACTGGTTCTCAAAAGCAGAGAGACTTCATTTCCTTCTTTGTGCAGAAGTGGTTTCTCAGTCGGTTTTGCATTTGGTGCAGCCAATATTATTCATTATTCTCCTCAATCCAAAATGATATAGATTTACTTAAAAAATGTGATGTCTATTAATGATAATAAAGATTTTAAACCATTTTAATACTTCTATTTCTGTACTAGAATTAAAGCTGAATCTTTTTTTTTTGCTTAGGGTTCAACTTCAGTGTCGAGAGATAATATTAATGCACATTTTCTGAAGTACAGGTACTTGGACTACAATTATCAAGCACAGTATTCAAGTGAGATATATGAAGGAACAAAAATGAGACTTTAGAAATAGACCCTACAGTGTTGAAAACAGACGTCTGAGCTGCTGCAATTACATTAAATCGCAATATCTATTATCTAACCTGTATTTTTATATCTAACCACTTACATAATTTTTTTCCCTCGTCTGATTTTTGATTCTTGTTTCAATTTTCAAAGCATTGAAGGCTTGCCATTATTTGTCACTAAAGCTTACACTTAATTGTTGAAAATGCTTGGTGTTAATGGGCCATACTTTACTACTGTATGTAACAACAGGATTTCCAAAGATTTCAGCCCAAAGTATCACTTTATATCTGCCAATGATATGAATTAATTGATTTTACTATTATTCAACAGATATCTTCTGGAGAGTTCTTCTTTTTATTATTACACTATTTCTATGACCAAGTAAAAGGAACATTTCGAGTTATTTTCACAAGGTTATTTGAACCTTCTACTAAAGGACAACACTAAACACCACTTATATCATGGTCAAAGCTTTAAAGTGGGGTATCCTGCGTATTATTCATTACTTTCAAGATGCAAAATATTAGTGAAACAAGATTTATTGATTTACACCAACGCCTATTTTTCTGATACAGAAAATCACATAGACTCATCCATTTTTGGAATTACTGAAGGCCTTGGGAAAATGTAGTTGTCACTGTTACACTAAGAGCCAAACTGACTACCACCCTACCCTTTGTATCCGCTGTGCACCTGTATCCCATTTACAGTTAGCTCTTGATGTCCAGCTTATGAGCTCTGAGTGCCACACCCAATACAAGCTCAATTGTGGACTGGGCAATCAAAGTCTGGAATTTGTAGAGAGCACACTACTTGCAATTCCATTGTCACAAAAAGTACAGAAGGTATCAAACTTGAGAATTATGCAACTAGTGGAGTTGTTGCTTATTTCACACCAAAACGCCGTTAGGAATACAAGAGTCCATCATTATAGATGTTAATACATTTTGTTACAAGTAAGGCACTTAACCAATCAAACCCTTATTTAAATGACATGTCCTGAAGCTGGTTCCAGGTGCTGTGTGCTTCTAAAATGCTATTGTAAGTGTAGCACATTGTGATAATGTTGTATTACATTTCTTTTAGAAATGCTTCTAATAATATCATATTTATTGATATCTCTTTCTTCTTTTCACTCAAAAAACCGTGTTCCTCTCTGTGCACACTAAATATTTCTAAGATGACTTTTAAAAACCTGCTCCTGAAGAGCTTTACTTTTAGTACTCCCAAACTGTTATCTCAATTTAAGCAAAAATAAATTAACTTTTACTCTCATTTCCATATGTGGAGGCATTTTTTAACTTTGCACCTTTACACTTTCAAAATTACCTCCAAAACATCAGGCCTCAGATATTACAGCTGACCAATAAAGGTCACTAATTGATTCAATTATCTCCATGAAGAGCTCAGCTAGCAGCAGGAAGCCAGAAACCCGTCTAGCTTTGAGAGTGAGCAGGCTTTTAGTGCCTAGTAGCAAAGAAGCTTTGAGAAGGAAAATCGCGCCGACAATCTTCAGGTCCGGGCATTACCGTTCGGAATTCCTCCTCGAATTTGTAGGCCCCGCCCCCGGTGGCGCACAGCACGGTGTGCAGGGTGGAGAAGTTCTTGTCGTGACCCATCTGGATGAAGGTGGGCATGTCGTGAGTCGGGAAGCGGATGAAATGCAGGTTGCCACGACGACCCAGCAGCGTGAGGTCCTTGATCTCTAGGTGGGTGTCGCGGATGCCTGTGGAGCCGTAGGCCACGTTGGAAGTCAGGTACTTGCGGATACTCTTCAGGCACTCCACCTCCTCCTGCTCCTCCTCGGCGGTGATGTCGATCGGCTCAAAATAGACGAGCTTCACCAAGGTCCCCCCAATATCCATCCCAAACCAGGGGAAAGCTGTGGAGACAGTGTGCAAGCGTCAGAGTGATTTTTATTCACCTACTGTATTGTGCAGTTTTGGGAGGGATGCAATCAGGTTAATTACTTCTTTATGAGACGAATGGCATGAGCAACCACGAAACACTGCTACTTCAGGAGTCTATGGCTGCAACAAATGCAAGAGCACACAGTGAAAAATGTGAAGGAGAGTCTCATGATCTCATTTACAGACTCGGTCTGCTTTTTACCTCATCCACTTAGCTCTGTGACAGCAGGAATACTGGATAACAAAAGTACGAGTTGTACTGCTGCATGGATAGGCCTATACCAGGCACTGGAGATTTCAAGACTTCTGCCCTATTTAAAGGTAATCTCAGTCGAACCTGCAGTAATCTGTACCCATGTATAAATATGTCATCTCTGACTCTTTTAGGGGAGGCTAAAGAGAATGGCAGCTTACTGCCAAATATTATGCATCTTAAAACAAGAATGGTGCTGAAGTCTCTGTGTGTCCACGTTTGTTTCTGCAGCGCAATCCAATACAATTGTGCTACTTTAGAAGACAGTTCAAGGTCTGTTCTTTTGGTTTTTTCTGGCCTTTCTTTTCACTGATCACTTTACCATATGCAGTTCATTTTAAAAACCTGATTATAGCACAAGTCTTGCAATATCGCCTAGGGTCTAGTCCCAAAATCACAGTTATTATACAAGGAAATCATAAAAATCTGTAAATACAATTAAGACAGTTCAAAACAAACATTTTAATATCACGCAATAGTTTCTGGAAAGGTTTTGCTTCTTCCATTTAAAACATTACTGTCACCCTGTAGATGAGCAGGAACAACGTTGCTATTGGCACGATGGTCTGACTTTGCAGATAATTTTTTTTCCCTTAGAAGTACAATTTCATTACATAGCCTTTGGTGATGTTTAAATCCCATTTTTATAACAATGTATGATGAGATAGTCACAGCATTTATATTAGCTTGTATTTTATTGCACCACTTTTTGGCCTATTTTGTTATTTAATCTCAGCTCTGTTTATGATGGCCATAAAATGGAACACTGTATGCTGAGAACACTTATACTTTAACCCCAGGAATGTATAGTGCTATAGTACATAGATCATGCAATAAATCAATTAAAAATATAATTATGATTTGTTTATTCCAATTCAGAAAGTTTACATCTCAACAGTGTACAGAATCAACCACACTCAGGCATTAAGTGTTATGTAGCAGGATAAAGGTTAAATGAGCCAAAGATGTTTAAATTTGTATTTAACTTCCTTGCAGTGCTTAAGTTATCTATGATAAAATTATATTTATTTAAACACATTATTACTCCACATTTGTTCAAGGATAACTGCATAAGAACAATAAAAAAATGCAGATTTTAGGTTTCCTGTCTTTATGATATATATTTTGACATTTCTTTAAGTGTACAGACTTATTATAGTAACAGTCCTGAAAATACTTCTAATAAAGCTCACCTATATGCCTTATTTTAGAAATAATTAAGCTGTTTACTTGCGATCGAAAGTTCAAGTATCCACAATCCCCTTTGATATCTTGAAAGGTTAAACAGGATCCTCTTGGCTTTGTCTTAAAGAATATTCAGGCAAGGGTAACAAAATAATATTAATAAAGTAATAATGTGGATAAAAAAGTCTGACTAACTTGCAAAATAATTCCTACTGCAATTGCTGGTTTTCTCCAGAACAGCGGGCATTTTGAGCTAACACATTTATCAGGCATCACTGGTGCTAAGCAACCCAGCTGTAGCTCAATGGAATACATTTTCTTTATTCAGTGTGTGAAGATACAAAACCCAGGCTTTTGTGAGTAAACACTGACACATAAATATAAAAGACAGATGCATTCATAGGGTGTCATGATAAGGTAGGGAACTGTTTTTAAACATGTTTTATTCTTAATTTTGATTTACCACTGTCCAAAAAGAGTAAAAGATCCAATAGTAGAAAACAAATGATTTATTGTGAAGTGTTTTCTCTTGATTTAACACTTGTATTAGAAGATGGTAAAGAACATGTTTATTTCAATATAAATTTCTTTCAAACACATATATAAAAATTAGAATCCACCAGCCTACGCCTACATCAGAAAAGCACAAAGCACCCTTTGTGTAAGAGGGCAGAAGCCAAAATGAATCAGTGGTGATAACTTCAGGAGGATGTGAGAGAACATTTACTGTTTGCTTGAAAACTGAGTTAAGATGACCTTTAGGAAATTAAATATTTTTTCCTCATTCACATTATAATTAAAAGGTTGTGAATGGAACTTTGTACAGTGAAAGAAATGACAATTTCATAGACAGGACAAAACCAAACAACATTTTTTTTGCTTTAGCATTTTTTAAAGACACTAATAAAATCATAGGTTTGTCTTTCGAAATAGAGATCGAACATTTTCTGGAGTCTACAGGGACTCTTCAATCAGTCTCTTTATAGATTGCAAAGGTTAAAATTTAATTGTATTTCTTATTGTTTTTGGTGATCAACAGTTCATTCTTTTTTAAAAAAAGAAAACATAAAAAGCATTCACATTAGGAACTATAAGGAGCTCATACACATATTTTAATTAATTAAACAGACTAAAACTAAAACTACTGTAGACTAATCAATCAGTTTAACAGATGTTTGACCAGAAGACCGAATCCCATTCCTTTAATTTAAGTGGGTCAGTACCATTCATTCTGGAAGCTGACTGTTCCAGAATTTAAGAATTATTTTCCTTATATCTGCCAGTAAAGGTTTCCTGGTGACATTGCAGTAAAGCTGCTCAGTAAGTCATCATAAACAGAAGCAAAACAGTGATTAGGCCTGAACTCAGCACATCAGCTACTTGTTTCCAAAATGCTGCAATAACAGAACAGTCCCAAAACATATGAAGATAAGTAACAGGTGCATGTAACTTACATGTATTACAAGAGAAATGTGTTATGATTCTCATACAAAAACTCGAATGTGTTTTTCTTATTGTTTTTATATTAAGTATAATCTTATCAAAGTGGTAAATGTTTCATGAACATTGTGGCCTAAGGTGGCTGAAAACTAAGAGGCAGTGGTCCTTCATTACAACACTGTCAATTTCAGCACTGTAGTGACCTTAAAAGTAGAGGAAAGAATAAAAATATTTTTACAAAATTTTATAGTATTAGCAAGTTAATCTGGAAACAAAAGAATATAAACATTAAGAAATTCTTCTACTACAGGCAGAGGGAATTGTGCACAATAGCTTTTGTAATGGGATACAAATATTAAAGACACAAATACAAAAAAAAAGGAATTCCACATTGTTATGTCAATTTAAGGGGTACGGACACTGTAGCATATCAATATCTTTTAAAGTTAAATTCGGGGTTCAGCCCAGATCTCCCCAAACTGTTCAATGTAAATAGACAGATAGATGATAGATGGATACTTTATTGATCCCGAGAGGGAAATTGCAGAATTTGAAAGGAATTTTAAAATAGATGTAATTATTTTAAAATAGACATGATTTCAGAACAAGTCCTCCTACTCTAAAGAAAATGAAGAGCTAAGGACCAAATGTGAATAATGATATCAGTATAAGTTACTGTAAAAAAAACCCCACAAAACAATCACTGAACTGGTCATCAAACCAGGGAGAGTCTTGTTTACTGCCTAGTGAAACTGATTAGATAGAAATCTATCAAAGGTCATTGTACCATTGTAGACAGCTTTCCCTGGTACAGTACATTATGTCCATGGAGCAGATGATTAAGAATAAAGTTCCATGTTTCCATGGATAGATCCTTTTTTAATAAAACCATCAAAACATGACTAATAAACAGTATTAAAATATCAAAAGTTCTAAGTTAATCACCTTTCATGGGGGCCCATTTATAATCAGACTACAGTCACTGACTTTCCCCATGGTTTAAACTCAGAAGTCGTCTGGAATTACAAGTAGAGACCACTTTATTAATTAGTAGTAAAGCTACTGTGATGGCATCGTAACAAAAAACCTTTACTGGTACGAGTTCTGAATTCACAAGGCCACAGCAAATGAAATAAATAGTCAAAACAAACTTTATTTTATATAGCACCTTTAAAGGTGGCTTCTCCAGATTATGCAAGATTCCCACTAACAGCTAACAACATAATATGATCCAACATAAAATAGTAATATTTTAAAAAATATTACATTAAACAGGATTAAGTCTGGGAGGAGTCTCGGGGCGGTGTGGTGGCTCTGTGGCTCAGGATCTGCACCTGTGGCTGGAAGGTTGCCGGTTCAAATCCCGCAGCCAGCAGAGGAATCCTACTCTGTTGGGCCCCTGAGCAAGGCCCTTAACCCCAACTGCTCTAGGGTGCTGTAAAATGGCTGACCCTGCGCTCTGACCCCCAGCTTCTCTCCCTGTCTGTGTGTCATGGAGAACAAGCTGGGGTATGCAAAAAGACAAATTCCTACAGTAATGCCAGAAATTGTATTGGGTTCATAAAGTGATGTTATTCTTTAAGTCTCTTTTCATGTTAATGAAAAATCAGGAAAAATGGCATTTTAAACAATATGCAGTCTAATATTTTGTGTATTCGAATTATTATTCTAACCTTAGAACCTTATTCATGATATATTATAACAAACCTCAGTACTTGATAGACAAGTAACAACGCAAAATGAGAACTGCCGTTACCAACAACAGAACTCTACCACTGGTTCCGGTTTTGGTTTGATTATTTACCAAATTAATTTCCTTTAAACTAAGTCCATTTTAGCATCCCATGTGATTATCATTGCCTTTAGAACATGCAATAAGGGGACTTTGGAACAGACATGCAGGAGACATGTTTCCCGTCTCAGGGGGAGGTGTGATGTACAGTACGTCGATGTGACCTCAAATGTGTTCGAATGTAATCAGACCAGGTCCTTTACTGTAGCTCACGGTGAACAAAACATTGCCTGGAAACGAAATTAATTTCCTGCTGAAAGGACAGTCCGCCACAGCGGGAAAATCAGTCTCGAGTCTGAAGACATACAGTATAAAGAGCATAGAGAATCCCCCGCCCACATAAAAATATTATCGCCGAATTTTGGCAATAATATCTTTATCCTCGGTGAAAAAGAAACACACTTAAATTATTTAATAATTCACTGTTACTCTGTAATACATATCATGTACGGCAGAATGGATAGAAGCTCTACTTACACGGCTTTTTAGCATCCTTGATTTTCATCTCTCTGCCAGAGGCGGAATCTGTTCTCCGGGTTTGACAGTTCCTGATTGTGGTCGATTAATATATGGTATACGCTAGTCAACGGCTACGTGGGTACCCACTTACATAAAAAAACTAAAACAAAAAATAGCTAAAACGGTGTCTTAATGAGAAATGTAACGAACAGAATGAAATGGCTTGGATCGGTGATCACAGCGTTGTACAGCCAAGCAACCGACTGTGATCCCTTCTCTGTTCGGCAAACAGTGAACGTAAACCGTATTAAACGTACAAAAAAAATAGTCAATTATATATATATAACAGCGATTTTAGTGTACTTATGGGAGTTGCTATTTCATTTTTTACAACAGGGAATCACGTTAAATAAAACAAAATACATTAACCGACAATAAAACAAACACGAAACGAAACAGCTGTACTACAACTACACAAGCGAGACAAAGGCACTCAGCTGATCACATACTGCAACACTGTACCAATTTACTATCCGGTTACGTCATCAACATGGAAACATTCGCCCTCTTCTTCTTCCAGGTGCACCATGGGAAAAGTAGTCACAAAACCCAGTTTAATTTCACACGGATAAATGTGTTCGCACTACAACTCCCAGGGAGGACATGAATATGAAGCCGAGCAACATGCATAGCCGAAGGTAAGAGTGGGTGGTCATTATGCAACATCGTGTTTATTAGGTTATACCTGTTGTGTGACATTTTTCGGACACGAGTAGGGACTACGAGCCCTGTTTCCATGTGATATAGTTGTTTCGTCTGACAGATTTAAAATCGACGTCACGTCCGGAAAAGATCACAATGTGCGAAATTGTCCGCAGTGTAAATTACGGTAACAGGTGTGGCGACGGTGAACTCGACGTGATCCTATTTTTGTGTCACGCTTGAGAAGTGTGTTTGACATAGCTCAGTGAAAAAAAAAACAGAGCGAATAGATGTACAGTTTAATTAAGGCTATTTTTATATGCGCAAAGAACCGAGCTATTACTGTTTGAAAATCTTGATAAATGATGAGGCAGTGACCTAAACGCGCTCACCTTCATTATCTTTCAATGCAAAGATAGCATATTGGAACGCAGACGGCGGCCATTGCAGGTTGTTCGAGCCACAGTATTTTTAAATGTGAATGCTTCCCAGAGGAAACCTGTTCTGTATATTCCCAGCTTTCCACTAACAGACATGAGATATGCTTGAGTAGACCTAGAACACACAATCGGAACATAAGGAGAAGTTACATTTTTCTTTACATGAGTCATTCCATGCCATGAATTAAGCACCCATGATTGTGAAGCTGAGGGAGACCCTCAGATAAATTGGTTGCTATTTTAGTAACCAAATGTTCTGTATATAGTCTAGGTGGTTTCAACTCATTGGTGACAGTGCCTTTCTTATATTTTTATCATTAGAAATGAGTGGAGGCCACTCAGTCTTGGCTCACTGTATTGTTTCTTGTTGTGACAGCTTAACATCAGTTTAATGTTTTTTTTCATGTTTAAACCATATATTTACTTACCCATGACCCCATAACGTGTACCCTTTATATTATTACTGTGTATACTGTACAATGCGAGCATCACGCCTCTGGTTACACCCCCATTTTTACACTAAACATGCAGAGAGAGGTGTTTTGCTCATCACAGACAACGAACGGCGAGTCAGCATACAGGAATGAAGTACAGTAGCTGATTTGGGTTGAATGGTGCAGCCTAATCGACCTAGATGTCGATAAATGTCAGTAAAACGAATGAACTTGTAATGAACATTAGCGCTGCAAAGGAGCACTCCAACCACTATATATCAGTGGTCAGGTTGTAGAGGTGGTGGAGAATTTGAAGTTCCTGGGCACCACCATCTCCAACACACAGGTCATCACACCCATTATGGTCAGGAAAGCTCACCAGAGGCTGGAGCATCATGGGAAGCAAGAACCCTCTTTTACAGATCTGTTATTGAGAGTGCTGTGACCTTCTCTGTCACTGTGTGGTCTGGCAGCACTTCTGCCCAGGACAAGAAACAGCTAGAGAGAGGTGTGTATGTTGCCTCCAAACATGTAGGATGTCACCTTCTCTCTGTAGCCCCACTTTACCTCTCCAGACTGAAACTCACAAGATCCTCACCAACTTTCCCCATCCTGTCCTCCTCTCTAGTAGGACTCAGGTCCGTCAAGACAGAGACTACCAGGCTTCATAACAGCAGCGGAGTGGTGGCTCTGTGGCTAAGGATCTGTGCCTGTGACTAGAAGGTTGCCTGTTCAAATCCCGCAGCCGGCAGAGGAATCCTACTCCGTTGGGCCCCTGAGCAAGGCCCTTAACCCCAACTGCTCCAGGGGCGCTGTACAATGGCTGACCCTGTGCTCTGACCCCCAAACTTCTCTCCCTGTTTGTGTGTCTGTGTCTCATGGAGAGCAAGCTGGGGTATGCGAAAAGATGAATTCCTAATGCAAGAAATTGTATAGGGACTAATAAAGCAACATTATTATTATTATTAAAAAAAAAACCTGTCCAGAGGCTGTAATATGCATAAACTTTGCACTCTAATTCTGAAATGCTTTGCATCGCTCATTGTCATTCTACCAGGCCTCAGTGTTATTTTTCTTATTGTTCTTTATTTTATTACTGGGGCCTGTTTAGGATGCTGGGTGGATGCATTCCAGTATCGGCTTTATGTTGTCTATTTGTATTGTATGCCTTTAATCGAGTGAGCTCACCGAAACAAATTCCATGTAATTAGTTGTTATGGCAATAAAGTACTGAACTTAAACTTGGTGTTTCTTTTTAATGTCACAGGACCTATAAAGCTAATAGATTTTAAAATCAGGTTTCTTACCTTAAATTGTAAAACAGCTCCTCAGCCTTATACACTTCCTTTTTCTTACATAGAATCATGAATGAGATGCTTTGGAGTCAGATATCTTTGGTACTAGCATATTGTATAACTTTGTATTGTGATGTTCTTCTCTCTATCATTGCAGAACAACCATTCAGCCTAGGTTTTGGTAAAAAAAAAGAAAACTGGTTAATTTCGAATTAAGTTGGTTTATAGAAAACAACTGGTACTCTTGAACAGGAGGTGAATGTTAAAATTTGGGTGATGTAATTAGTGGAGTAACACAGAGCTCTGTACCAACACCTCTGCTCTTCGTAATTTACAGCATGGATCTGGATTCTGGTATTGTTGGTATACTAGCCAGATTTCACGTAATACCGATTTAGAAAGATTAGAAATCACTGTAGATGCAACGAATGTAAAATCCATGTGCTATCCAGGACGGGATGCCATTCCATCACAGAGCATACGCAGACACAGACATGCACACAATCATGGCTAGTTTTTACAGACGCCAATTAACCTACCAGCATGTCTTTGGACTGTGGGAGGAAGCCCACACAAACATGCAGAGAATATACAAACTCCCTGCAGACAGCACCCACGGAATTGAACCCAGGATACCCAGAGATACAAGACAGCAATGCTCACCACTGCAGCACCACATTAAATATTAATTGAATATTAAAGTTCAAGAAGGGGGAGACATTTTTATGCAGGTTCAAGTCTTAACATAGCATTATAGGTTGCTGCTGGAAGAGGTGTTAGTGGGGCCAGCAGGGGGCGCTCACCCTGCGGCTCATGTGGGTCCTAATGCCCCAGTGTAGTGACGGGGACACTATACTGTAAACAGGCGCCGTCCTTCGGATGAGACGTAAAACTGAGGTCCTGACTCTCTGTGGTCATTAAAAATCCCAAGGCGTTTCTCGAAAAGAGTAGGGGTGTACCCCGGCGTCCTGGCCAAATTTCCCATTGGCCTTTATCAATCATGGCCTCCTAACAATCCCCCTCTATAAATTGGCTTCATTACTCTGCTCTCCTCCCCACTGATTGCTGATGTGTGGTGAGCATTCTGGCGCACTATGGCTGTCATCTGGGTGGATGCTGCACATTGGTGGTGGTGGAGGGGAGTCCCCATTACCTGTAAAGCGCTTTGAGTGGGCTGTCCAGACAAGCGCTATATAAGTGTAAGCAATTATTATTATTATTATTATTATTATTATAAAATGTACACAATGAAAACAGTTTAATGATAAATGTTAGGTGTATGTATGTTATTATACCACTTGGTGGAGACAAAGACTAACATAAGACACATTTTGCATTTTTTCACATTTAGATCATTTCACTTAAAAGAAACATTTCTAGAGCTGTCATGTCTTCTTGTGTTACATGGGTTTTCTTGGAATATAAGTCCTGTCTGCAAAGATGTCCTACATTTTGTGAGAGATGTTTGTTTTTTGTCTGGGCCTAAAGGTATTTTACAACTCGAATTCAAGAGTAAGACTGAGCACATGCACAATACAAAAAAAAACAGAATCAAATTACTTTAAAAGTAAGTTTGCCATCTTTTATAAATTAAGCACTTTTGAAGCAACAGAAAAAAAGGATTAATTCAAGAATAACTCATTAAAAATTCTCCACAATTTTGATGGTCCCCAAGAAACAGAAACTTCTAATTGCTTCAGAAACAACATGTTCAAATAAAAAAAAATGTGGATTCTAAACTTTCAATAAAAAGAAGAATTTTGCTCTCGACTGTCCCAAAAAAAACAAACAACTCTGTTTTTCGGAAGCAAAGCTTTTATTGGGAGTAACATTAAAATTATCCAACAAGATTACAAAGACATTATCATATAAAATTTTAACCCAAAAAAACGTAATGTTCCTTAGCTTTTTACAGTTTATCTTGGCCATTTTTTCACAACAACTTGGCTGTTTTTTCTTTGCGTGCTCGAATAAGGAAATGACAAATTTCTATCAGCTCAGCTTGGGGATGCAGTATGGCCCTTGCAGAATTGTAGGAGAGCTGAAAACAATGCAGGCACCTTCTTCCAGAATGTGTGCTGCTGAGCCATTTTCATCATTTTAAACTGGGCATCTACAGCAGAGTTAGTATTGAATTAGGTGCTCACTGATAACACTGCAGGCTCACAAGAGCCTGGAACACTTTCGGAGTTGCCGTTGCCTGTCTGACTCTTTGAGCCCTGCTGGGTGGTGGTGCCTAGCCAGTTGTGCGTTACACAATCGGCTAATGACATAGCACAGCATAGACTGAAGATAGTGATGTCTACACTATACAGTTACATTTGTACTGCACACAAGGACTTTTCCTATTTGAGTCACCTGGGAGATATAAATTTGTTTTAATATGGATTGGGAGTTAGTAAGTTATGATGGTGGGAAGCACAGTTGTGCCTCTCAGGGCTGGGGCCTGGGTTCCATTCCGGACCTGGGGTGCTGTCTGTATGTGGTTTATATTTGAGCTTGTTTCCTCTGGGTGCTCCAGTTTCCTTCCACAGTCCAAAGACATGTGGGTTGGTTAAGTGGCTTCTGGGAAAATGAGCCCTGGTGTAAGTGTGTGTGCCCCGTGATGGCCTGGTGTCCCAT